ACACATCCACTTCCCTTTCCCCCCCTCAGTGAAAGGCAGCGTGGGGGAACAGGACACAGGACAGAACGATCAACAGAAACCAGCAACACCTGCGAGGATCAGGGAGCTTTCCAAGGCCCCCACGGACATCATGGGCTCACTGACCTTTGATCCAGAATACTAGAATATCAGTTGGGAGTGAAAGATAAGGACTGTGTATGGGAGCAAGCTGTCCCAGGGAGACAGGCAGATTTTTTTTTCCCTCTTATGATTTTGAGAACAGGATTAAAAGGATATAAATAATTACATTGAAAACTGGGATCCCAGAAGCAAGCAAAGTAGGATTTCCAGAGGTCAGGACCTCCGTGCCCTTCTATTGCACTGTGCCCTTCCGCACGACTAACAGGAGCAGAATAAACTATGCAAAACACACATTAAAGTAACAGTCTGCATAATGTACACAGCTGCAGAGTTCAGCTTCTTTTAGACTGGAGCATGAAGTTTCTTAAGCGCAGGTTATACATGAGTCCAGGTTTGCTCTGTCTCAAGCCTCTTATGCAGTCTTTATACCATAAAGTTGACAAGGAATCCAATAAACTGCAACTTCTTTCCTCTCACTTTCTTTAACTTCCTGTCTCCTTTCAGGATACATATTTATGCTGGCACAAGAATGCCCAGATAGGTGAATGCTTACAGCGGGAACTGGAAGGATTAGACATTTCATCAATAGTTGGGTCAAAAAAACATGATGAATGGATTCTATTGAATGTGCTTTCTTAAATAATTTCTTTTAAAATTATTGCTTTTCAGTTTTCACAATACAGACTACACACTGAGTTACTCCTAGGCATTTTAAAAAGTGGAAACACCATCTACGGATGTCTTCACTACTGTTTCCTGTACACAGCTTATGCTTTTAGATTGCACTGTTGTGATGTTTCCTCTGTACTTCAGCAGGTGTAGCACATCTTAGGCTTTCAGTATTATTTCAGCAGTGGCACTACACACAACCCACAGCAGTGACTCCACACGCGGCCATCCGTTAGTATCCGCCTTGAGTTTCAGTGAGAAAGTAGATAAACCCCCGCTCTGCCGTGGAAGCTCACTGGGTGAACTTGGACCAGTCACACACTGTCAGCCTAACCTTCCTCACATGGTTGTTGTGAGGATAAAATGGAGGAGAGGAGAATGATGTAAGCCATGTTGGGACCCCAGTGGGGAGAAAGGTGAGGTACAAATGAAGTAAGTAAATAAATAACATGAAAATGTTGGCTATCAGCCCCCTCTTACTCCCTGTGTAGAGTTGCATGAAGGTTGAGAAAAAGTGGTGACAACAGCACATGCCTTCTGCTTATCAGCCAAGACAAGAGTTAACTTCTGCATATGCAAGAGGATTAAAGTCACAGGAGGTTACCACAGCTTTTTGCTTTAGTAACCCCTTACATCAAAGGGGTTTCTGTTACAGCAAAGTAATGGAATAAGCAGCTCTTTTATGACTTCATGATTTGACACACGCTATGGATCGCATATAGAACTGTAGCTAGGAATGGTAAACATGGAAGGACAGTATCTTTCAGACTGAGTTTGCCCACCTCACCGCAGAGCAACCACCTAACATTCAGTCAATATCACTTCTTATCCAATCAGACCAGTAGCCTTGCTGTTCCTATCTTTTCCTGGCATTACACTTTTGCCTTCAATAGCCACAAGACAGGCAAAAATTCAGTATGGAAACATTCCCTATTACTGCATCTTCGGCCTAGGAAATGCTTCACAAGCTTTGCCAGGAAAAAGTCCCTGTTCCAGTGGCTCCATTCCACAGGAGTGGCTCAGGTATGTGGCACTTCATTGGACCCCTTGCCTTGAACTCAGGAGGGCTGTTTCTTCTCTGTCTTTGGTTTTTTGCTGCACCCCCAAATAGTCACTGCATCAACTAGGCCTATTTTGTCATGTTGCTGAGCAACCAGTACTGCCTTGCAATGTATTTGCCTGCCAAGTTTGCGAGTCAATTATATATATATATATATTTTTACCCTTGGAGAGTTGCTATCTTGCAATCTTAGATTAACTGACAAAAAAAAGCCCTTTATTGTTTGTTTTGGTGGGAAAACCAGGAAGCAGAAGGGAATCTTACAGCAATGTAATAAAGACAGTAATGCAAGGATTAAATCAAAGTGAAACATTTATTAATTAAATGTCTCAGCCTGTGACGCTTACCATGGTCCATCCTATCTGAGGCCCTAAATCTTTAAAATAGAATGTGGCAGTTGTGCCAACAGGGAGCAGCTGAAGGCTTTCTTCATCCCGCAGTGATTTTCCTTCTGTGAAGAAGAGAGGAAAAGCTGTGATGCTTACCATGGGAAGAGGAGAACTGAAACACGTAGTCTCTGATCAAAACAGGCATGCTGACACATTGACACTGGTTCTGACACTGACACTCTTGTATGAGTAAACCCTGGCTGGAAACAAAGATTCCAGTTAAATTTAATTCTGTGTTGGCTTGGAGGAGTGCCCTTTTGCCGGTGCCCTGTCTAGGGCCAGCTTCAGAGGGTGTTGAGACTGGGATAGGCTGGGGCCCAAGACTGGAAAGGTCCAGTACCCAAACAGCAACACCATTCTCATTCTGCATTTTAAAAAACCCTCTATTTGCATGACCTATGGACCAGTCACGGGTATCCTCTGAGGGTGCTTTGGCCAACAGCATCCGCTCTGTCAACAGCTGCCGGGTTATAGCTCAGTCTTCTTTGAGCGACTCCATAGATTAGTCACAGAGCACATTCTTCGCATGCAGACAGTGCTAGGGTTGCTGGGTCTCCCCTGGCCAGCAGCAGAGGACTGGGGGGGGGGGGGGGGGAGGTTGGGAAACTCCTGGAGATTTGGATGGAGCCTGGGGATGGCACAATGCCACAGAGTCCACCCTCCAAAGCATCCATGTTCTCCAGGGGAACTGATTTCTGTAGTCTGGAGATGAGCTGTAATTCTCCAGGTCCCACCTGGAAGGCTGGCATCCCTAAGACAGTCACAGCATCTCTTGCTAAAAAGGTTTTTGGGGAACAGGGATGGGAAAGGTCCCTTTTTCCCCTTAACAGCAGGGAGAGCTACTGCCAGCTAGAGCAAATACCACTGAGGTAGATAGACCAAAAGTCTAACTCAGTATTAGGCAGCTTTCTATATTCCTATAAGAGAGCTTTTTAACATTCTCTGCGTTCAATAGGAATAGTTCTGCATTGGTTTATAAAAGCTGTCTGTAGTTGCTTCCACAAAAGTGTCCTTCTGAAGGACTGTATGTTGCAAAACCTCGCATATACATTCACAATAAGGTGCAAGTGCAACTTCTACACCCAGTACAGTGCCACTAAATCCCCATTTAAATCCTGCATTGCAATGCCTCCCACACTGCAGAAGCCTAAATAGGACACATCTGAAGAAATGAGCTCTAGTCCATGAAAATTTATGCTGGAATATAATTTTTGTTAGTCTTTTAAGATGCCACAGGACTCCTGCCTGTTTATCCTAAACAGAACTATGTCTGTTTCTTGCAATGGGATTGAACTGTTTCCTCCCAGCATTATTGTCATTGATCTTTTAATCGTTTTCTGACCTCATTTCTGCTTTGGGATCACACCATTTGCTTTTTTAAAAAATTGATCAATCATGCTATTTCACTACCATGCATCAATGGAACAGAAAAAATAATAAATTAAAGAATCATGCTTACAACAAAAATATACCACCACCCTAATAGTCATGGTTCCTCACTCCCATTGTTAATATAACTAGCCTAATCATTTTTCTGATCTTATTTCCATTTTATGATCCAACCATTTACTATCAACCTGAAAAAAATGCAAATAATAAAAAGACATCCTTATAAGCACATAACCCCCAACAAATCTACAAATTCATTATCCCACTCCCCTTCCGTCATTATGGAATTACTCTGTAATTAATCATTTCTTGAGCTCATTTCCACTAAGCAGTCCTTAATGTTTATTTCCTCTTTTTAAATTCATCTATCAGTTGCACAATTTCCCTGTTGCAAACAGATGGAACTGCAGATGATAATTAAAAAATTCCACAACGTCCTTTAATTAAATATTTTTTGTCTTTGCAATATCAGGCTGTGTAAAAACAATAAAGGGAAGGAACTGCATTGCAAGACATTTCTAAGATGGCAGTGCAATCACAAAATGGTGTGGCACTAACCAACCACACGATCAACCTAACTGCTTCTCATGGCCAGGTGCATCAATAGTGCTTTATCCATCCAGAGTGAACAGTATAGACTACAATTCATCCAAAGTAAAGAATGTTACCATAAACCAAGTCTGAGAAAGGACAGATGGAAAACATCAGACTGTAATGGCTCGGCAGCAGTGTCGTCTGAATGCTCCACAAATAACCACAAGAATGAATGATGACAATTCCAGACAAAATGGCTGGTAGAAAAGCAACCTGGAGACTTGTTCAGAAAGCTAGCAGTTTGTATTTAAACCATTTTGAATTGTGCAACAAAAATGGAAGATGAATAAAACAACAATTCACTTGTCTAGTAGGTACTAGAACTTACTGGGTTCAAGTCTTATTGACTGCCTTGCTGGATACCATTGAGGATCTGTATGGAATATAAAAGATGTCAAATGGTATTAATAACAATAATAAAAAGTCCACCCAGTTACACAGTGATTTACGGCAATCCTAAACTAGTTGGAAACTCCTTAAAATGGCAACCAAGCCCACACTAGTATAACACAGTGATACACCACTATAACTTGGAGATACCCTAGCATACCTGGAGATTCACCAGTATAGAACGCTAGGGGTATGTGTTCAGATAGAAGAAGAAGAAGAGATTGGATTTATACCCCGCCCTTCACTTGGAGTCTCAGAGCAGTTTACAAACTCCTTTCCCTCCCCACAACAGACACCCTGTGAGGTGGGTGGGGCTGAGAGAACTCTGACACAAACTGCTCTTTCAGGAACAGCTGTGCCAGAGCTTGTGACTGACCCAAGGTCACATCAGCAGGTGCAAGTGGAGGAGTGGGGAATCAAACCTGGTTCTCCCAGATTAGAGTCCGCACACTTAACCACTACACCAAACTTGCACAATACTGGAACTGAAATTAAACCTGAACTTAGCTGCTTTGAGTTGGCTCAAGGATATCTGAAATTACTCAAACACTCCCCAAATTTTGTAATAATGATAATTTATTTTCTAGAATTTTGGGAGTGTTTGGGGGAAGTGCAGGATTTGGGAGGGAGAGAGATAAGGTAAGCACTGGCAAACAGCTGTTTAGTGGCACATGTGCCCTTTAAATTTTAAAAAGCCATTGACTTCTATGGGAAGATCTGGCCACTGAGCATATGTGCCACCAAACAGCTAGGGGGCCTAGTCTTAGAAGCTAGGTATACCACCCATAGGAAATAACGGTCCCATTAATTAAACTTTAGCAATGAGATAAATATATCATGCCCCCGTGCAAATAGTACAATCATAATTTGTACATTTTCACATACTCTATAAATCATCTATAATTCAATTATTTTTTAATATTTCAAACACATATTCTCTGAAATTGGTTCACTTACATAATTTATGGAACATCAGTCTGATATCACTTATCGTAGCATGTGGCTCAACCTAGGAGACAAAAATATTTTCATTTGGAATGCAAGCACTGAAAGAGAGTTTTCACCCTCATTAATTTCTAATAATTCTAGGAAACAGGGAAATAACAGGTCAGCCATCATATCCACAAAAGAAGGTTAACGATCCTGTCCCACTTCACAAGTTATTTTTACTGAGAAAAATTAGTACTAAGAAGTACAACACTCAAGAAGTACTACAGAAATGAATTAATGAAACTATTGTTATTTACCTTCTCCAGAAAGCATAGTTGCTGCTTTGTCTTCCAGTCGAGGATTTCCACCTACAGAAAAATATCAAACATTCTCACAATGATGTCTATGGATCCCAAAGTTCAGCAGATCATGCCAGTAGTTGGTTAGGTGATAGGATGCTATGCCATGTGTGGCAGGTAAGAGCTTGCATAAACTTTTTCACTTTGTTTCACAGAAGGTTAAAGGAGGTAAACATGATCTCTGGCATCACTGCAGAAAGAATGGAACCAATCTAGTGGAACTGCTGGAAATTGTCCATGTGTCCTGCTGTGATGAAATGTCAGTTCTAATACAGTTAGATTAAAAGTTCACGATGTTCAAAATGGTGTGAGAAAGATGTCTCCCATCTCATCCATTCCATATCCTGCTTTTCACCCATTTCCATAGTGTATACCAATGTGGTGCAGCAATGCATCTTCTGGTGCTATTTCTAGCATGGGACACTGTCCTGCAGTGCCTTAACACCACAGTGTTCCAAGATAACTCACAAAGTCAGGACAACACAACAGTTTGCAACGTCAGCAAGACATCAATATCAGCGGCAATGGCTTGCAACATCCGTTTGATGCATCACTGAACTCCATCCTGGAAACTTATTTGTCGAGGCATAAAATTCTTACAATGCAACAGCAAATAATATTTGTCATTTGAAACAAATGAGTCTCCTAAGGCTAAACTTTAATAACTAAGCACGCTTACCAGCATAGGCCAACTTACTTATTCTTGAGGTGACTGTATTCTCCAGATGGTGGTCCAGAGGCCAAAATACATATTTTGCTGAAACTCAGTACATATAACAATGTAGGTAAAGGTAAAGGTTCCCTTGCTCGAAAGACAGTTGAGTCCGACTCTAGGGTTGTGGGGCTCATCTCCGTTTCAAAGCCGAAGAGCCAGCGCTGTCCAAAGACGTTTCCGTGGTCAACGCTGTTACCTTCCCACCAAAGTGGTACCTATTTATCTACTTGCAATTTCTTGCTTTCGAACTACTAGGTTGGCAGGAGCTGGAACTAGAGATGGGAGCTCACTCCATCATGCGGCAACTCGGGTCTCAAACTGCTGAACTACTGACCTTCGACAGCCTGCAGTTCAGCGTCTTAACCACTTGAGCCACCGCAGCTCCTTATATAACAATGTACACTTACATAAATCTAACATATACTATCAAAACCAGCAATGCAACATTAACAGTGCAAACCTAAACAGCGTTACTCTCTCCTAAGACCATTAACTTGAGGGGTGTAAGGAATGTGGAATGTTTGTTTCTCATAACTTGAAACTATTCTTTTTAATACCATGACAAAAATTGGGTAGAGCACCAGGAGCCCAGAAAAATTACACCAACGATAGCGTTCAACCCATGATCTGTCAGTGGGCTGTTGGTAGTCTATGTCACAGAGCCAGTCCAGTCATAACCAGGCCAATCCAGAGTGTGGGCAGGATCCTATTTTTCTTCACCCACACATACCTTCTGGAACATGAATTTCCCCACCAGACTTGACAGCAACATTAACTCTGGGGTAAGGACTAAATTCAGGGCTCTTTTTGTAGAAAAAGTCCAGCAGGAACTCATTAGAATAATAGGCCACATCCAACAGCAGAAACTCATTAGCATATTGGGCCACACCCCTAACAGCACAGCTCATTAGCATATTAGGCCGCACCCCCATGTTACCAGAAGTGTGGTCATCCAGCCACACGCACCTTTTGCTTCTTATTCTGTTTACCTTGTTTGTTGTCAAAACCCAGAGCTTTTTTTGTAGCAGGAACTTCTTTGCATGTTAGGCCACACACCCCTAATGTAGCCAAACCTAATGAGTTTCTGCTCTTGGGTGTGGCCTATTATGCTAACGAGTTCCTGCTGGGCGTGGCCAACTTGGGAGCCAGTCGGAACTCCGTTCCTGTGCGTTCCTGCCCCAAAATAGCCCTGATTATACTTTTGAAAGGGCACGCTGGATCTACAACAGCCTACAGGATTTTTGTTTAGAATGAAAACTCCACAGTCACTCTTTTAAAAACGATGCAATTTACTATCATACAGAAATGCATTTACTATTTAAAGTACTAGCACACAATACATACAAATTAAATGGCTTTGTTCCATTTGCAAAATAAAACAAAAATCACAAGGAGATAGGAAGTAAGGATTTGATTTCCTAAGACTGTACTTCTCTACACCAAACAATAACACAGCCTACAGTTATAGGCAGTAGTACTAAAACAAACTACTATACCTTTTTAATACATTTCTTTCGTTAGGTAAGGTTTTAAAATAGCATTCCTCAGAAGGCATAAAAGTCAAGTTACCAAAAACCCAAGTATTACTTGATGTTAAAAAAAAGAAGCAAGAGCAACCACAGGAATACTCCAAGGCTCCATTACCATACTCGTATACGTGTACCTGCCTCTATTTGCCATCCCCCTTGTCTGGCTTCTCAACCATCCTGCGTGGTACTGCCAAGTTAGTGCCATACTGATTTCTTTTACAAAAATCACTCCAGAGGGGGAAAAATGCTTATTTCACAGTCTACAAACATGCAGGCCAGAGAGAAAGAGCAATTCAATATGAATTAATCATCTGAGTGCTACTGTAAAGTGCTTATCAAGGTGAGCCTCATTTGGATTTAATTAGGGCTGTGGCCTAGTTTCTCTTCATACTCCAACCATCTTTCTCAGTAGTCAAATTAGTGTCGTTAAATATTTCTCTGTGCAAGTTTTTCCCCCTCAATCTCTGTTGGTTTGGAGATTAATACCTAGGCTGGGGTGGACCGCCCCCACTCCTTGAGGGTATGAGACACCTAGAGAAGAAAGGCACAGAGTTCTTGAGCAGGAAAGGTTTCTGAGTTAGATATAGTAATTCTTCTGCCCAAGGTCTGGTACTCTAGCCCGTCACCTCTTTCAAGTAAAGTCTGAGCCTGCTCTGTTTGAAGCAAAGTTCCAGGGAGGGTGAGAAGCAGCAAGCTGAGTCCTGATACTTCAGGGTCTCAAACCAACTGCTGCAAGAGTGGACTACACACAGACACAATCCTAAAGATAATCCATGCAGTTATCCATTGAACAGATAAATGGTGATGGGTTGGAGAGGAGCTGAAAATGGAATGAGCTTAGAAGAGGTCAAGGGTCTGTGGAAACAGGGTTAACATCAAAGCGATTCCAGTTAGCTGCTTTATCACCGGTATAGAGATGGGATCCGGTTCTGACGAAACCAGTGAAAGTCTACATGTCCTTAAGGCAGTATGGGGCTGCATAAACAGTGGCATGGAGTGGATGCAGGCCAAACAAGACCTGGAAACAGCCTTTTCAAACTGAGGGTACATAGTATACATTCGACCCTCGCAGTCCACATACATGTGCAATGTAATCTCATGTTGACCTGCAATTCCTACCCATCTGTCCACACTATGAAGGCTGGACTGAGATAAAATATTAGCATATCTACAGGACTTAGCATCTTTTATTTATTTATTTTACAAAATTTATATCTCATCTTCCTGCCCTAACAAAAACCACCAAGGAGGCTAACAAGTAAAAACATATGTAATTTTTAAAAATCACATTTTTAAAACCATTAAAACTAAAAAAAAAAACCCTTTTCAGAAAAGCAACTTTCTTGGACTTAATCTTGTGAAGTTATGTTTAGAAAATGAATGGATTCTGGACAATACCTAGTTAAATGTCAGAACCAATTCACACATTGTGGGGTCTAAGTAGCAAACATGTGGATTGTCAACAGATGTGTACCTGGAGTTTTGTGCAGGAAACTCCGTTCCCAGGTATACAGCGGTTCAATAATTTGGAATCTGTGGGACATGGAGAAAAAGGGCTTAAGATTTTCTCCATCTACCCACCATTTTCCCTACTTGAAATAGCACCAAAGATCTGTTATTTGCCCTTCTAGGAAAACTTACATGCAGCGATCAGTACATGTGAATTTCCCCAAGGGGGCAAATAGGAGCTCTTTGGGTTAAGAGCCAGTTTGGTGTAGTGATTAAGAGCAGCGGACTCTAATCTGGAGAACTGGGTTTGATTCCCCAACCTCCACACACAGCTGCTGGTGTGACCTTGGGTCAATCACAAGTTCTCTCAGAGCTGTTCTCTCAAGAGCAGTCCTTGAGAGAGCTCTCTCAGCCCCACCTACCTCACAGGGTGTCTGTTGTGGGGAGAAGAAGAGAAGGAGATTGTAAGTGGCCCTGAGACTCCAAGTGAAGGGCGGGGTATAAATCCAATCAGGGCTTTTCCTTTCCTTTCTTTCTTTTTTCTTTTTTTTGAAAAAAAGGTGCCGGAACTCTTGAAAGGAAAATGAATTTTTTAATCTGTATACTGAAAACTCATGAACTTTTCAACATTTTAAAAAGAATTTTGTCAAAAAGGTTCCGGAACTCTGTTCTGGTGCATTCCCCCAGAAAAAAAGCCCTGAATCCAACTCTTCTTCTTCTTCTAGAACAGTGCAGGGAGAAAGGCTTAAATCTCTTCTCCCCGTGTGCCATAGTCCAAATTGGACTCCTGTCACATACCTGATTCAAAGTCCTCATGGTGGCCATGTGGACTTGGTAACTCATGAATCAGCTTTGTGTGTGTATTATGTGCACACACTAAGCAGGAGTTCCCTGGACTGAATGACTAGGGCTTGACACAGCATCTGTCTGTTTTCATAACCGACTAAACAAAAAATAATTATGAAAACTAATAACCACACAGATATGTTCAATTTATATGTTAGAAATCAGCTACTTATCAATATAGAACTTGAGTGACCCAGGTGGATTTTTTTTTTAAATCAGTGTATACAACAACCTGACTGTAGACACAAATACCCAACTAAGGCTGAGTTCAGACTGGCAGTTTGAAGCGGGAGGGAGTCGTGGCAAAAAAAGAGCCGGAACAAACTGTTCCGGGTTTTCCCGTTCACACTGCAGCAACTGATGCAGGAGCATACCGGGAGGAGGCACAAGGGAGCGTTCACACTGTTGGTCCAGAGGCATGTGGGGGTTTTTTTTGGGGGGGGTAATCTGAGATATGCGCTTATGCGCATGAGCGCACAAGAAAAATGCGGCTTTTGACGTTCACACTTTGTTGGTGCGGGATGGACGCGGGATAATCACGCTTTCCAGGGTTTGCTACCACTTTCACCAGGTATCTTTTAAACTCGGGAGCAAAGCCTTACAAGACAGGTTGAGTACGGGTGGGGAACGCCTGACAGATGTGCCTGTGTGACTGGCCCCTTTAACCCAGTTGTGGAACGTTTCTGAAACGCACGTATATTGGGGCAAACTGCCAGTCTGAACTCGGCCTAAGTGTACAGTAATTTTCTGTGTATTTGCCATTAGAGTATCCAACTGCATGTAGATCCTGTGTTTCCCAAACTTTGAAATTCAGAACATCAGCATTTTGAACGCAGGCTCTCCATGAGCCCCCCCCCCCAATATAAGGCAACGTACAGAGACCTGCACAAATTACTTTCCAAGACCTTCCTTACCTTTGCAGCCATTCAGGCTCTTCCAAAAGCTGCTTTGAAATGTTGAAGAAGCTGCACATGAATGGGTATGCACTGGTCACCATTGTTTGCTCCCAAGTATTACAGCGCAGGGATGGAAGAAAAGGAGGTGCACAGGGGCTGCATGGGATAGCCAGGGCCATTTTGCCCCCTCCTGGTTCCTAAAGAGCCAGGCTATATGGACAACATATCAGCCAGGCTCAGGCTCTTACAAATTCCAAAGCATGGATTAAAAGAAGCAATTATAAAACTGTAATCAAGCACACGTACTAATTCTGTTAAGGAGCTGGAGGTTCCATTGGTTTTGCTGCTGCTTCAAAGAAGCACTCTACTTAACATATTTATTAACCTTGAACAATTTTATGGGAATACTTATTTCCCCTTGTTTAATACTCTCCAGCCTTAAAGCTTTTATTTTTAACCTAGTGACAGGAAAGATCAAAATCACCCCGATGGAGCTGGCAACACACTGTTCCGGTAACTAATTCTTTGCTATTGTCTGTTGCTAAGCAGCAAGACTCAGAGGCAATACAAACAGGGTTTGTCTGGAAATGGTATTAGAGTGTCCACTGTGGTTAGGTTTGAGCTATACTAGAGCAACTTTTTAAAATATGGGATAAACCAGGTTTACATATTTCAATCTCCCCCTGACCACTGAGCCTTACAGATCTCACTACAACTGCTTTCCATTTCCTGTCTTTCAAGGGTCTGTGTCCCCACTCTTTGTCAGATATGACATAATCACATGTGCACTGTGGGTTCTCACGGACACATGAAGCTGCCTTATACTGAATCAGACTATTGATCCATCAAAGTCAGTACTGTCTTCTCAGACTGGCAGCTGCTCTCCAAGGTCTCAGGTCTTTCACATCACCTACTGCCAGATTCTTTAACTGGAGATGCCATGGACTGATCGAACCTGGGACCTTCTGCATATTGAGTAGATGCCCTATCACTGAGCCACAGCCCCTCCCTAAAGACAACTTTTGCATTTTGGAGCGGCTATCCTTTGCTTGCTTGAGTGAGTTTGCTTCCTAAAAGGGACTGAAATTGTCAAATATTATTTGCTAGGATTTTTAAATATATACATGGGTTGGATCTCACAGAGAGTTTCTTCTGATGGAAGGATTTTCCATCAGAACAGCATGACTTCACTTCCCCCCTCCTGGGGGACATGTGGGGCTGCAGTGGGGCAGGGGAGAAACACTCCGTGGGAACTCAGCCAGACCAACTTATTCACAGAAAGAAGGCTGGGCTCCTTGTGTACACCGTTGTGTTCTTGAATTAGGCCTAACCTTCCCTACCTGAACAAAGTTTGAGTCCAGTGGCACCTTTAAGTCCAACAACATTTTATTCAAGGTATAATCTTTCATGTGCAAGCACACTTCTTCAGATATCTGTCTGTAAAGAAGAGTGCTTGCACATGAAAGCTCATACCTTGAATAAAACTTTGTTGGTCTTAGAGGTACCACTGGACTCAAACTTTGTCCTGCTGCTTCAGACCAACACGGTTACCCACCTGAATCTTTCCTACCTAGGCTTTCAAGGCTAGTTTCTTCTTCCCATAAAAATCCATGCAGTCAGGATTTGTTGGTCTTAGAGGTACCACTGGACTCAAACTTTGTCCTGCTGCTTCAGACCAACACGGTTACCCACCTGAATCTTTCCTACCTAGGCTTTCAAGGCTAGTTTGGGGGGGGGGGGAGGAGGAATCTCTGCACAGCATGGCCCTGCCTATGGATGGACTAGCTGAGCCTGCTTTCTAGCCATCAGAGGCAGCCAGGGAACACAACTGGCTTCTCCTGGCTACTGGGGTGGAGGATGAGACTGGGTAAATAAGGCTTCTTTAACCATCTATAGGCTTTCTAAAATTTTAATACATGCTGTAAGACATTAGTAGGAAATGTTTTGCTACCCATTAGAGTCTAACCTGTATTTCCCACTTTAATTTCCCAGTGCAAAACATAAGATTTTCACCCTAAGTTCTTCACTTAGAGCAATATTCTAAGCCCACAAAACATCAAAACGTCGTGTCCAACGGTGGCTTTCAAAGCTTTGTGGAAATGCAAGCTGTGTGTCACTTTACTCTTTTCTTCTCCCTGCAGTTTCAATCCCATGCTTCTGTTCCTCAGAATGTTTCCCCAGCCTACACACACCCACTCACTAAAGACTTTGGTTCCTACTCTCACTACAAGAACACCCCACTGAAAGAAATGGAATGTATTCAGGGACGTTCTCCGTCAATTATCCTCCTAATGCTTGATGGCTGGTTCCAGCACACTAATTTGCTTTTTAAGTACAGAGTATGAAAACACCCTCGATCCAGCAGCAGAAATGTTCTAAATTGTTCAGCCAAAAATAACCCAAAAAAATGCTCTTGGCGTTCAATTTAGCATTTTGTTTCTTTGTACCCAGGAGCATCTGAAATTATAATAGAGTCAAGATTTTTTGCTGTTGTTATAAGAAGCCACCCTTCCCAATGATGGATCCCCTATTGAAAGATTTCTCTTTCTTTACAGTCGGCAGTGTCGGAATAATTATTTTAAATGAAGAAATTGAATTTCAGAAGAAACAGTGATGATGACTACAAGCACCTTACTTACCGGATGACTCTATTGCCCTAATAAGGGTGAAGAAACTACCCCACATTTTTCTAGAGCTATTTTTTGAAGCAGTGGATTGATCCAACCTGCTTTGCGGCTGGTGAAAAAGAAAGGAGGCCCCTTTGACTGACAAAAAAGGCTATGCTAAGGATGATGGGACCCATATGAGCAGAAGCTATGTGGGATGGGCGCTTTAGTATGGAGCAGAACTGGGCGAGACGGGGTGGGAAAGCTGGCTAGATCCAACTCAATATGCTTTACCAGTAGGTTAGGTAGGAACATGGGTGGTTCACCCAAGGATAGCTGGGATGGTATTTTCATATGCTGGTTCTGAGCCGTTAGTAAAAGAGGAGTTGTGCCCTTCCGAGATATGCCTGTGACTAGAGTCCCCTTTTGGAGAGAGATGGCACTTTAGGCTATCTGCCACCAGGCTGCCATCTTTTTTTTTCTTGTGAGGCTTCTAGAGTATGACAGCCAGATATGCAGCAGGTAATGTCTTACCAGGCATGGAGATTCTGTTGCAGGAAGAGCTCACCTTCTGAGTTGCTATCTTTTCTAAAGCACTAAAGGTACAGATGTTGAGCCAAACAAAGAGAAGGCAACTTTACCTGTACCATGTAGGCTAGAGGTGCTTGGGTTTAGTACTTTTAAGTTCCAATACAATAAAATAAACTTCTCTAAAGGTAGACAACTTTTTCTTGGTAGAGCACAAGGCCTCTTTTTTCCTTTTGCTTATATCTCTTTTTACCTCTGTGTACATCGGTAGATAATAAATATACACACACAAACAGAAACATAAGAATACAAATATTAGCTGCCTGGCAGAATCCTAATTACAAGGCAGTTCAAGTGCCAGTATAATGTGCTGGTCTAGCTATAGCATACACCCATAAATGGTAAGGCAGCAAGTTCTACAAATGGTTTGTTCTTAGACTTTCCTGTAGGATTTGCCTAGCAACAGAAGTGAGAATACACTTTTGGAATATGCAGCCGTGAAATTATAAAATTAGTAAGGAGGTGATAAATGCAGGTGTAAATGTTAAATGCAACTCACAAGCAGATAACAGTAATGATCTTGTAGCATCCAAGAACAGCGGCTCAATACAAATCTGGATCCTGAAATGGTGTGATTATACAGGCCCCAAGTTGAGAAGGAGACTCCACCCACGAACACAGCCTCTCATGTTTCAAATGTGTAAAAGAGTGCTGTGAAAATCCTTTATCTAGCACTTGGCTGTATCAGGTTTGTTGTGTACATTTATGGAGGGAAAATCTATTCTTCCTACTTTTTTCTTCTTCTTGCACTATCTGGGGAAGCAACACTGTCTTCAGAGTAAAGGGCAGAAAAGAAACACGTATCTGAAGCAGTGTTAGCCAGTCAGAATCAGTAGCACATAACCTCACATTTTGTTACCCCCTCCCCAGTAATTACTCC